AAACGGCTTCTGCTCATTTCACTGAACAGTTGTCCACTTTCTTTCTTTCTCTTTCTTCCTCTTTATATCTATGCCTCCATCTTGCTTTTTTAATATCTATCCCTACTACAGAATCGGCTTCTGCACTAGACAGAGTCCAGTCTCTTTCTTTCCCTTCTATTCTCCCAGAATATTCGCCGACGCTGCCCCACCTTCCAGGGACCCTCTAAATCTCTTTTGGGGGGCTGGCTCCCCATAGGAATCTCTTTCAAACTTAACTATATGCCATGTCTCTTCAGGGATTTAATAGTAATACAAAATCAACAAAACCCATAATATTTTACAGCCTTCTGATCCTTCTCTACAAAAATATTAATTTTAAAAGTGTTCCATGGTGAACTAACTATAGCTATCATTTCCTGAGGTAGACCATTGATATGAAAAGGCCAGGTTTCTAATTTGTGAATAAAGAAACTTATGTAGATATTTTATATGGCATGCCTACTAATCCAAAAATCTGGATTAGTAAACAGTTGCCCCTAAAAATGGAATGAAATAGCCCATTTTTGCTTCTAGCCATCAAGACCGTACCAACAGAGTTAATGGAGTCTTTGAAGAATTATAGTGAATCTAGTAGTAAATCTTTAGCAGATTTTGAAAATCAGCACTAGATCATGCTGGGTTATTATTAAGACCTCCTTAAAGAACAATCCTGAGTCCATACAAGGACAATTGAACTTGCTTTGTAGAGATGAGGATATATACCTCTTGACATGTTCATTCAGATGTAAGTTACTAATTATGTGCTTATTTAATATATTCCAACATAGATTTATTTTACTGAGTTCAAGATTATGAATTTAGGTAAGATTTAAATTGAATACAATAAGAGGAACTTCTGATATTAACTTCATTGATGGACATGCTAATTTGACTATTTTTTCAATTCTCTTTGTGACAAAATATTTGAATTCTTTTCTTTTCTTTTCTTTTTTTTTTTTTGAGTTGGAGTCTCACTCTGTCACCCAGGCTGGAGTGCAGTGGCATGCTCCCATCCACTGCAGCCTCGACCTGCTGAGCTCCAGCGATCCTTCCGCCTCAGCCTTCCAAGTAGCTGGAACTACAGGCATGTGCTACCACGCCCAGCTAATTTTTGATTTATTGTAGAGATGAGGTCTCGCCAAGTTGCCCAGGTGGGTCTTGAACCCGCAGGCTCAGGCAATCCACTCACCTCAGCCTCCCAAAGGCACGGGATTACAGGCTGAGCCACCGAGCCCAGCTGCTTCACTGATTTTTTAAAAACACTAAAATAGAATGAAGGAATACAGTTCTCCAATAATAAGTACTATCAAAAGTGTCAGCAATTTTGTAACTGAATTTAATTAAAGTTTGGGACAGTCAAAGGTAAATTTTACCTGATGAAATAAAATTGTGAAACATCCAGAGAAAATAGAGAGCCACAAAAGGAAGTAGAAACAGTAATAGTATCAGTAATAAAAGAAAAACACACCCCCTCTTTAGTTAGTTTGAGGAAAGAAAGATGAGGTTAAACAACATTGTTTGTCATTTATATCTTTACAATGATAACACAACTTTCTAAAATCTAGAAACAAGCACTAGATTGTGAACTCCCAAAGAGTTTATAAGCTGAAAACTATTATAATCAAAATAGGAAAAGGAAAGAATTTACTGACCATAAAACTTGCTCATCCTTGATATTATTTTCTTGGAGACCTTATGAACATTCCTTCCATAAATACCCTTAATAAATAAGATTCTCCTGTATTAGAAGTGGTAGTGTGATACCAAGTGAAGACAAGGAACAGGCAAGGGCAGACAGAAGGGGACCAGTATATCTGAGTATCCATTTTGTGCCAGTCTGTGCTGTGGGTTCTTTACAAACAATCTTGTTAACATCTCAGAATAAATATGAACCTTGAAGAACTTAGCATTGTAGAAGTCAGAAAACATTCCACACCTAGTGAGGGGCAGAGACCGAAAGTCAGTCCCAGGGGTCTGACTTCACACGATGCCTTTCCTCTATGCCATATGACTTTCCAGGGAAGAGAAGGGAATGTACCGATGCTCACGTATCTTTCAGAGTAAGCTGACTGTTTACCTGAACCAACTTCGACATTTAATAAGAAAATGACATAATCTTCTACTTAAAAATAAACATTTCTTACTTTTTGACTAATGAGCACTGGAGCATCGTTTACGGAAGAGGCCCAATTGACAAAGTCAGTCACATCAATCGTGCCTCCTCTGAGAAGCTTTTCTTTCAGTCCATCTGCATATTTTCTGGTTCCACCTCTTATAAGTGAAATAACATCATCTATGAGGTTATCACGGACGATGTTCACTGAAAAGAGAAAGAGAACTTAAAGAGAAGCATGTGTAATTTTGTGGTCAGTCGCCAAGATGACATTTGATAAATACTTATTGAATCCTTTTAGTGTAGTCTAGAATATTTATTGAATTTTTTTAATGTTTAATTTTAAAGATGTAGGGTACAATTCAGGGTTTGGTATACAAATGTTCATTATGCAAGTACACTTGTTGATGAGTTGTGCCCCCTATTTAATGAATTTTAATCATAAATGTTACTTATGCAATTCTTTTTATCCCAAACCTGTACTGGCAATTTTTATTAGTAACCAATTTTAGATTTCTATCACCTGTTTTTTAAAAACAAAAATGATACAAATGATCTAGATTCATGAATAATTCGCAGGCCATCTCAGAAACACATGTAGACATGGAAACTACATATGACTTTGTGGGTACTTTATATTTTTTGTTGCAGATTTACTTTTTTAAGATTTATCCTATTACATTTTATATAGGTTTGCTTTAAATTATTTCAATATTATTAAAAAATCAAAGAGCACAAAACAGAATAATGTGAAAAGTAAAAAATCCTATCCATTTTCCCTCTGTATCTCTCTGCAGGCTAAGCCAATTCTAACAAACCTTTGTGAATCTTTTAAAGTTGTGAAATTTTGGAACAAGAAGGGAATTTCAAGATGGTTTTTGTCTACCTCTTGTCACTTTTATGGATGAGAAATTGGAAGCTTACAGAGAGGTGGAGTGACTAGTCCAAGATTACACTGCTTGTTTGAGAGCCAAGTATAGAAATTGCACCATATGATGGCCAATTCAGAGTTTGTTATCACTTCATTAGTGGTTTTCAAGATGGTCACATGTTAGTGGTGGGTATGTTTTTTAAAATGTTAGGCTCCCCTTCTCCATCTGCCTCTCCGCTATCAGTTGATTCTTTAAAGGTGGGTCTCCAGCATCTGTGTTTTAAATATGCTTTCAGGTATTTTTAGTTAAAGCACTACCTCATGCTTGTAAATCTGCTAAAGATCAAAAACAGAAAGTAATATTTATACCAAAGATATTTATATTTTTAGTACGTTTATGCACTGATTTAAAGTTAAGGATGGATTGGAGATTTCAAATCAGGTAGAAGGTTGAGTAAAGGAAAGTGTTTTGACCTTGTTACTGGACACACATGACATTGCCACTTGCTCATTTGGAATCTTTGTTAAAATTAGGGGAAAAAAACTTTTCACAAAATATTTTTCTACTATTGGCCTTCTGTCATTGCCATGATAAATATACACATCTGTAATTACAGCAGTGTGAATGGCACTCCCTAGGGTTGTGCACGGTACCACCTGCACAATATTGATATTAATGAATATATGTCCTTGAGCTGTTTGTATTTAAAGTGGTTGGGAAACCACTGTAAAGAAAAACTAGTTTTTAGAGACTTTTCCTTTGTCTAAACAGAAAAGATAGGCAATAAAGGGAGCTCATTGTGAGAGCAATGCTCATTGACATCTACCCCCGGCTTTTAAAAATCGAATAAATTAGTACACACTTACCAGTTTTACCATCACCCCTCTTTAAGCAATCATCTTTATCAACTTTAGCCTCAGCAGAGATTCCAGACATACCCAGGGATAAATCCAAATGATACCCGAGACATCTCTTTACATCTCTTAGTTCAACACCTGTGTATTGCATTTATTTGAAAAGTATTAGAAAATGTCTATCAATATCACAAGTAAATTCCAACGTTGCTATTTTATAAGAAACATAGTTAGATTCCTAGACATCATTACAGAATTCAAATGCAAGGTCTTGTCTGTTCTGCTTTGTTCTCATATTATAATCTAGTGGCCTCCTTTTGACTTTGATTGTCAACTTAACGGCAAATGACACATTAAATTTACCACTTAGTTAAAAGGGATATAGGCCAGACTGTGGTGACTATAGTCACATCTTTTATCTCTAATCCCACAGAAGGGAAACAACAATGTCCAACATGTATTAAATGCTTATAATATGTCTGGCATCATTCTAAGCATTTTGAATATGTTAACTAAATTAAACCTCACATTAGCCTGATGAGGTGAGTGCTATTATTATTCTCATTTTACAGATGAGGATGTGGAATTGAAGAGCAGTTACGTAACCTGGAGATGACTAACATTAGCTAGTAATGAACCAAGTTTGGATTTGAGCCTGGAGCTATCTGTCTCTTAAGCACTTCTCTACATCATTTCATAATTTGGTCATGGGATGCTCAACATCTCTTGATACCCTTTGGAAGATTCCATATCATTAAGATAGCTGGTTCATTGTTTTAGATAGATGTCATAGATATGTAAACTTTGTTTTGCTCCTATGAATACTATTGAGTAGCTGACTCATTGTGGTGTGTAGATGCCCATACAGTTATTAGGAAAAAAGTCTTAACAGTTTCTCAAAATCTATCACTCATTGTCTGTTTCACCAATTTTTATAAAGTAATGATTCCTCTATTTTAAGGGTAAACCACCCAGACCTCAGTTAATTGACCATGCCAATCTTTGCTCTTACTCAACATTTATCACACATACAAACACACATGCACACCCACATACATATGTACTAATACATGATTATTCATCCTGAAAGTCAAAAAGAAAAGGAAGAAACTAAGTTAATCACAGGTTTCCACAATAAGAGTTGGAGGTAGAAATCTGGGCACATTTAGGCATTCATTCATCCAACAAATATTTCTTGTAAGAATTATCAGTGGGAAGATAAAAATGGAAGACAATGCCAGAAATCCAGAATGCTAGATTTCCAGCCTTATCATTAAGATGCATGAGGACTCTCATTCTGAAGAGGAGGGTGAAAAATACAGAGGTGACCCCAAAGACTTTAGATTCTCTGCTTTAGCAGTGGACCCTTCTATGTCCAGACTTCCCAAACTGAGGTAGAGGACACGGCTTGATCCTCAGGTATTGGCACTGAAGAAGTGAGAATGATGACTTGCTCTTTAAAGGAACCTGGATTTATCTAATAATCCTTGTCTGTTAAGGCCAGAAGGTAAGTAGATTTAAGTGGATAGCTCTGAGTTAGCCAGGATTAAAGATGTCCGCCTATGGAGATTTTGCATCAAAGCAACTCACAGCCTGAAGTTTTCTTTTTTGTTTATCACACTTGCTGAACCTTTCTCTTCTAATTTTAAAGTTACTTAAGATACAGTCCTCTTATGCCCTTTCCTTATGTGATATATATCCCTGTTAATATAGTCTACCAGTTGGGGCTCATAACCTCCTCACTATGCTGTGGATATAACTCTGTAGAACAGTGTACACCAGGCAAACTCGTATTCTACTCCTCCGGGAAAGCTTTTCCCTTCCCAAGACAAGACTGAGGCACCAAGAGCAGTTGGGTCTGGCCATGCCATGGTTTTTTATCTAAAAGTGTTTGCTGACTGTGGGGAGAGTGTCAGGCTTTAAGATCACAATTACATGGCACACTTCACTTGACACCTGATATCTTGGCACTCTAACCCCACAGGAGCCATGGAACTGGTTCTTAGCAACACTTATCTCCCTAAGAGACACACACACCCAATAACTTGGAGGGCAGAGAGGAGAAATGCTGGCTTCTATCACTTCCTTAAGCCTTAAACACTCACAAAATAAATGAGTAAAACTTATTGACATAGTCACTTTGGATCTACTTTACTTTTTTTTTTTAATGGTAACTTCCATCAACATTTAATGAGTAATTAATAACAATTCTTTACAAAAACTTCCAACAGTAGAAAAAGAGGTCACTTTTAAAATTTATCTACTAACTCATATTATCATGATACCAAAACCAGAAAAAAAAATCACAAGTAAAGAAGACTATGGACCAATATTCTATACAAATTATTTTATTCTTTAAAGCCTTAGGTGAACAGGCCTACCTTCTATCTATGGCAGACACTGATGACCAACCATGGATGACTTTTTTCATGATTCCAAGAGTGGCTAGAAACCTACTCAACATGGATCCAATTTAACAAACACCATATGATGATACTTGTCATCATATGAAATAAATCTAATTTTCTACCCTTGTTTTAAAATGTTAGATTTATATAATAACATTGATTCTTCTCTCACCTCTAAGAGACTATTTAGAACAGTATTTTCCCTCCAATACTGAGGTATATTTTGTAAGAGGAGTCATATATGTAAATTGTACTAATGCACTAATTAAGATATAGGTTATATAAATTACATCTCTGTACTTTCTTTCACTTTTAAAATAATATTTCACTAAAAGAGGCATCATCTTATAATAGATATTAAGTTGCAATACAATTTGGTCTATCTCTCAGTAATAATGCTGAGTAGTACATGACCAAGTCAGTTTATTCAAGATGGAAGTCAAATTGCTATTAAACAGGATTTTAGCTACCACAGGGCAGGAAGAGAGTTGTCTCAAAAAGACAGGTTTCAGGGCTTTTTATTCTTAAGACTTTAACTATTGAGAGAAGTTAGTGAACAGAATAACATTTAGTCAAAACAGCATTTGAAGTCAGAGCTCTGTTTCTAGGCATACCTTTTTCTTTCATGGAAGCTTTATCCAAAACATATATTAGCTCATAGAATCCTCCTAGAGACCCAGAGGTACTGTAGTGGGTTCCATAGGTTTCTAAAAAGGCAAAATATTCTCCCTTTTCATAGGTAGTTGGCAAAGCTTTAATATCATCCAAGAAAGTTGTTGTCAGTGTAACATCCCGATTTCTCATTACAAATCTTCCCAGATGAACCACTTCTTTCACATGCAGAAATATTTTTTCCTTTGTCGTAGAGCAGGTGAAGAAGAGAAGTGTGAGCTTTATCATCATTATTTCAAGTTACAACATTTTGAAATTTAGAACTCCCACAGGCACTCAATTTTTTAGCAGTGACCATGAGATACCACTTTAATCCATGAGAATGGCTAAATGTAAAATACTTATACCAACTGTTGATGAGAATGTGTAGCAACTGAAACTCCCATATGTTGCTGGTGGGAGTGTAAAATTATGTAGCCACTTTAGAGAATTGTTCACAGTTTCCCATAAACACGTATCTACCTTATGACCTGCAAGTCTACTCCAATACATGTACTCAAGATCAATGAAAATATTGTCCACAAAAAAATCTGTATGCAAATTCATAGCAGCATTAGTCAGAATTGCTCCAAATTTAAAACAAATGACCATCAACAGAGAATCAATATACCATTGTGTGAATATACCAATTGGGTTATTATGGTATATTCACTAGTTTGTTTTTCTTTTTATTTTAAAAAAACCTACAATACATGAAACAACAAATATAATTTTTTTTTTTTTTTTTTTTTAGTTAGAGTCTCACTCTGTCAACCAGGCTGGAGGACAGCAGCATGTTCACTGCTTACTGCAGCCTCAACTTCCTGGGCTTAGGTGATCCTTCCACCTCAGACTCCCAAGTAGCTGGGACTACAGGCGCGTGCCACCATGCCTGGTTAATTTTTAAATTTTTTTTGTAGAGACAGGGTCTCACTATGTTGCCTAGGTTGGTCTTGAACTCTTGGGTTCAAGCAATCCTCTCACCTTGGCCTTCCAAAGTGTAGGATTGCAGTTATGAAACACAGCGTCTGGCCAAATAAATCTTTAAATTATTATGCTGAGTGAAATAAGTCAGACACAAAGGAGTATATACTGCATGATTCAGTATGAGTCCATTTACAGGAAGTTCTAGAATAGGCAAAATTAAGTCATGCTCTGATAAATCTGGTCAGTGGGTGCCTCTCAAGCAGTAGGGGATTGTTGATTGGAAATGGCATGAGAAAGTTTTCTTGAGGACAGAAGTCTGAGTATCCTTTCATGATGGAAATTTCTTGGTGTTACAGTCATGTCTCAATGTATCCTAAAGGCAGATCTTATGTAATTTCCATCCAAATATTCTGTTGCCTCTTCCATCTTAATACATTTCAAAATATTCTCTTGTTAGAGGAGATGGTTACACAGGTGTATACAATAATCAAAACTCATAAAGCTATACACTTAAAATCTTTGCATTTTATTGTATAGAAATTATACCTCCTTAAGTTGTCTTTTAAAATGTTAACAATAGGAGGAAATGTAGACATTATGTATTAAGCTCAATCTTCTTATTTTGCAGATGAAAAAACTCTGATGTCAAGTTATTTTCCAAACATCAAATGAATTGTATGTGACGGCATTGGCGCTAAACATCTAGATTTCAGCTTTCCTTGTTTCTTCCATTATGCCCACTCAATCTTTAATGACAGAGATAGGACAGTCAATATTTTGAGACATGGATCTCAAGTCAAAATAAGCAAGTCAACAATTAAATGCTCCCAGGGCCAGGGATGATGGCTTAAACTTCCCAGAAAAAACTGAAGCAGTGAACTATGTGATTCAATGTCACAGCTTGTCCTAGCCAAAACTTAATGACAATTGACATTCATAATTTTGTAGGTGGATCTTTTGAGGTTCTCTTGCCATAACTGTGGTTAATATATGGCAATTGTGTAGAAGTGTAAAACATTTTGTTTCCTTTTTAAAGGTACACTCTGGTGTATATGAATACCACACTAAACTTTCTGTGTTTTAAAAGCATATTGTTTATATCATATGACTTGACTTTAGGTAATAGTGGGTGATTCAGCCTCTAACAAAAATTATACAGGAACTTACTCTATATGTTATGTCACATGAGTTTTTCATCTACTGACCTCCAAAATAATTCTCAGTGGAGTCTCAAAGATGAGCAGAACATATTTGGCTTCCTTTTCATTGTTGCTAAAACTAGGAGGTATATTATGGGATTTGGGATAAAAGACACTTGTGGTGTTCCTCTTCTACACTGTTGGTGGGAGTGTACACTAGTGCAACCTCTGTGGAAAGCAGTGTGGCGATTCCTAAAAGCTCTAAAAATCAACCTTCCATATGACCCCACAATTCCCCTACTGGGAATATACCCTGAAGAAC